AATATATCAAAAACGTAATAAATACGAATTTATCTACATGAGTCAAAAGTTCTTAACGTTCAAATGAACAAAATATTTTTTCCAATCTATAAATTATTAAAAATTATAATGGCAATGTAAAATAAAACAATAAATTAAACAATTATTAAATTAATATCTTCTTTTCAAATTTATTTAAAACAATCTTTTGTAATAAAATTCATACTTAAAAAAGTTGCAAAAAATTTTTCAAATTTCAAAACTTTTGACTCCTTATTTTCAAAATTTTCATTATAAATTTACAAAACTTTAACTAAAATTCATAGAAATTTTAATATGTCGAAAAAATATTTTTGAGAAAAAGAATTCAATTATTTTATTTATTTCCATGTGCAATTAATTAATTTCCATATTTAAAACAATAGACACAAAATTTAAGTATTACATTTTCAATCTCGAACAAAACAAAAGAAAAAAAAACAGTAAATTTAACAATTATTAAATTAATAACATCTTTTTAGATATTTTAAACAATATTTTGTAATAAAATTCGTAGTTAAAGATGAGCCAAAAGTTTTGAACGTTCATATGAATGAAATTTTTTTTGCAACTTCTTTAAGTACAAATTTTATTACAAAATATTGTTTAAAATATCTGAAAAGATGTTATTAATTTAATTAATTTAATAATTGTTTAATTTACTGTTTTATTTTACATGGTCATCATAATTTTTAATAATTTATAGATTGAAAAAAATATTTCGTTCATATGAACGTTCAAAACTTTCGGCTCATAGTTAAAGAAGTTGCAAAAAAAATTTCGTTCATATGAACGTTCAAAACTTTTGGCTCATGTTTATCAAATAAAAATATGTTGCGAAATTTAATGTCATTTATGTTTGAATGTTTATTGTAATTTTTTTTTATTAAATAATTAACATCACAATACTAAAAATTATATATTTAGCATAATAATTATGAAAATAATTTATATAAATATTCTACTTATTGTTAGTAAACATCTATTTATATATCTTTTGATAAAATTATACGTATATATTTAGAAAATTATTTATAAGCCTGAATTTTTGAACGTTCAAATGAAAGAAAAATTTGTTTACTATTTTTTTTAAATTCAAATTTTATTATAAAACATACTTTCTGTGTCGGAATCAATGATTTTCAAAGAAATATATTTTTTTTTTTAATGAAAAAGTCTATGAATTGTTCTCGCAGATATATTTTTTACAATGTTTATTATTGTTGAACAAATTATAAAAAAAAATAATTTTTTTAGATGAAAAGTTTTATAATGTCGGTGTGTGATGGACGATTGAAACAAAAAAAAAATAATAATTTTTTAAGAACATTTTTGACCTACAAATAATTTTTCTTTTAAAAATTTTTAATCGAAAAGTATTGTAAAATTATTTTTAGACAAAAAATTATAAGAATTTATATAAAAAAATATTTTTCCCTCTAAATTGTTGATCATAAACAAAACGTTGTGAATTTCTCGTCAATTTTTTGTTAATTCAACCAAAATCAATTTTTAAAATTAATTTTGTTTCGGAATGTGAGATTTCTAGAACGATATATGTCCTTTTTTCTAAGTAACAATAAGAATTCAAAAAAAAAAATAATTAATAAACAATATTAAAGTCACATATTGGATATTGCTATAGAAGTCGTTGACGTCTTTGGAGTGTAAAAGAGATTCGTGAAATTAGAACGCACTTTTACTAAGGTATATATATATAAGTGGAATATCCGGCTTGCCGTGCCGTGGAGAATTATATAGAGTATACACGATATATGAATAGGTATTATACAAAATGTACATGTATGCACTCTTCGACAGAGGTACATAGGCCCAGTTGGTTGCATTCGGTGCATATACACCCGTTATTCGTTATACCGCGTAAACCGACATTCGCTGGTAATTACACGGATATTATGTCGAAATATTTCCAAAGTGAGCACGAGCTCGATTAACGGTTTTAAACCATGCTACCTACACGAACGTAAAGACGCGTTGCATTCCTTGAATCTTCTCGCTATACAGATTTTATAATAATGAATTTCAAATTTACAGTCTTCATCTAAACAGAATAGACAACAGAAAAAAATTGCTTTGTCAGAAAATTCAGAAATGCCTATATTTCAATTTTACGGTACAAATAAAAATTTTCTTTATTTTTCAAATAAACGAAATTTGTATTCATTTATCAAATATTATATTTAATTTCAACTTTATTTTTAAACTAATTTATAACTATATTTATTATTAATATAAAATTATCAAAAATTTTTTTTAAAATGTTATAAAATTAGAATTTTTAAATACTTATTCATTAAAAAAAAGTATAGGTTTCAAAGCAAAAATCAATTTCTATTTAAATGAAATATTTTGTGCCCTTGAATAAAAGTTCGAAACTATTTTTGAAACTGAGTTTTCAACTATATACAACACTTGAAGTTAGGCTATCACACGTGTTAAACTCCAACCTTTTTTTTTATTGAAATATTTAATCTTTATTATTCACATCAAAGGACGAATCATCGATTAACAGAAGTTTTCCTTGAATTCACCTATAATCATTATCTCAGACCCTAGTACAATATGATGCATTTAAAAACACTTAAATAAAAAACTTTTTCTATTTTCAAATCTTTAAATAATATTTAAAAAAAAAAATACCTATCCCATTTTTCATTTATCGTTGAAACAATAAAATCATTTGGAATACCTATACAATTTAAACCATATTAAAACTATACCATCAACTGCAATTTTCCATCTATACGAAAACTATAAAAAAAATATTCAGATCGTCAATTAAAAATATCAATAAATTTCAAGCGGAAAACTATAAAACTGTTAATAACTAAAAATTGAAAACATTTTTTACAGAAGATAATTTTTTTTAACCAAAATAATTTTTCTTTGAAAATACTTGTTCATTCTATATTAAGCTTTTCAATAATTAAATTGATAAATAATAATTTAATTATTATTAATTAAATAAATTATAAATCTGTAATATATTTAAGAAGGCTACAAAATAGCAAAATGCATAAAAGTTTGCAGTGGCAACGAATTTTTTGCAGATACAGCAAACTAATTATGCTCGTTAATATATAAAGACAGCGAATAAGTTTACTGTGGGGTTTAAATTCTTAATTTTTGATTTCCTTTTTTTTACATGTCACTAATTATTTTCTATTTCTATAAAAATGAATTTTTTTCAAAAATTCACTTTCGTGAAAAATTTGAAAATTGAATTGACGAAAGACGTGATTTAAAAAGATGTAAAATATCGTTTACATGAAAAATAAAAATAAGCGTACTAGAATTTCAAGAAGTATAAAGAATGTGGGTCGATGCAATAAGAACGTTACAAAACAATCACCGTTATATTCTAGAAATCAAGCTTCGACGCTCTCGCGTGCGTCCAGATAAAACTCCAACTGATTTCTTTCGACATCGATGAAGTCCCAACAAGAGGCGCGAATACTATAACGGTTTGATCACTGGAATGTTATCTTCCTCTTATGTTACATCCACAATCTTTATACAAACATACGTGTAGTGTACACTTATGTATATGTATACCTATATCAGTTAAAGGTAGATTCCTAATTCGCTTAAGTTTAAAGAATATATACATTTCCTAAATTTAAAAAAATTGTCCTAAAATGCTCCCTAAATTTAAAAAAAGGAATTATTTATACAAAAAAAAAAAAATTCGTATATAATTTTTATTATAATAATGTAATGAATTACATATAATCTGAATTAGTAACAAATTTACTGATTGTAATTATGTGACTTTTTAACTGAAAATAATGTTAATTTACTGATTTTTAGTGTAAATCGCACCAATGGAAAATGTACATTATGTATTGACATTTCCTCGAAAAATGCGAAAGTAAACAATACATTGTTTACACGAAGAAAACTTTAATGTTGATTTTTCTTTTATAAGTAATCTAAGTAATACAAGTATTTTCGACAAACATTTTCAAAACACGTTGTTTAGAAATTTAATATATAATTCACAAGGAAACTTCGTGCCGTTTCAAATATCCATCAACCAAATATATATTGCTATACAATTTTTAATTATCAGATAACAAATAAATTTCAACTTTATAATTTATATTAATTTTAGATATTTTAATTATTTAAACTAAATAACTTTTTAATATATGAATTATTGTAAAAAATAATTAGCAAATATTTAAATTATTTTATCATGTAAATAATTTTTAATCATCTGAATTATTTAAATAATAAGCTTTTAAATATTGTTTTAAATCAATAAGTTTCTTACAGTGAAAAAATATAGAAATATTTATCTGCTAAAATATTTCATCATAGACAAAAAAAAAATGCAGCCAAAACAGAAAAAAAAATTTCTACTACCAAACAAAGTTGCCAAGTCGCAATTTGTTTACAGTGACAAAGTTTAACGACCTTGAAAATATAAAAAATATGTCTTTTCAAAAGAATTACTATATGCTTCAAATATCCTTTCAAATCGAAATGTTCTCAGATATATCAAAAAAAAACCAGAGAAAATAAAGATAAAAACAAATAAAAAAAAAGTATAATGTTCTAAACGTAAAAAAAAATTGAAACGCTTTTTGTTGATATATACGGGGTACATCAATATTCTATTGATAAAGTTTAACGACCTTGGAGATAATAAAAATCTTTTGCGAGAAAAATATTCCACAGTTGAAGGTCTTTAAAATCAAGCTTTAAAAACCATTCAAAATAAACAGTCAAAGAAAAGGAAAAAGAAACGCAAATCACTGAGAAAAACATTGGAAAAATTAAAAAGGTGGGATTGTTTACGCGCTTTTTTTTATAGCTACGGGGTTCACAAATGTTAATACAGAATCTGTGTAATGATAAAGTTTAACGAACTTTTCAATCAATTTATTGTCAATATATACGGTCAAATGAAACTTACATGAATCTTAAACATTTGTAAGGATGAATAAAATTTTTACCTGTAGGTCCTGACAGTTATTATCCCTGTGGCTGGCTGCACGAATCACCCCCGAACGCCAACCCCATTCACTGACTTTATTTAACTTTAACTTGGTGAAACCACTCACTGAGAGGAATCTCTTTCCCACGATATCCTCTCGAAACTTGTACGCCATAATATTATATGACAACTAAAATGCACTCGTGTAAAGAACACGCTGCTCCTTAGCAACTAACAGCGCCGATAACAACAGATGAGCACTTTAACAGCACAGATTGTCACTCTCTGAAGAACCAAAAACAGTTGAGTTTTGCTATATAACGTTGACACCAAACAAAAAAAATCACTTTATGTATATATATATATAGAGAGAGAGAGAAAACTTGACACATTAACGTCGATGCGCGATATCCTCGGTTGATTTTTCCTCGCTTCACAGTTGTTTCTAACCTCCACCCCTTTATCCAACGTCAACACACTAATTTGGGTTGTCACTTGTCATCAGGGGTTCAGGTAACACACAATTTTATTAACACTCATCCAATGATATTAATGATAGCAGGATAAAAGTACTTCGAAAGGTATAAGAATTGTGAGCGTGAAAGTGACACACACATGACCGACCACTGATATCGCGTAGCGCGCACTGCGGGCGGTTAGCAGGGAGGCCCGTCGCTTCACCTTCCCCCCCTTCTCACACCCACTTCTAGGACGAACATGAAGCGCGGGAATGGTTAGGGTGGGGGAGGAAAGAGATTCGAATCGTTCTGCCTGTGGTCTTTTCAAGGCATTTATTGGGGGATGACAAGGTGAAGGTGGGTTTTTGGGAAGAAATATTTATATTCCTCTTATGAAAAGGGGGCTTTAATTTAATCCCAACTTTTAAAACGAACATACATTCTCGTTCCAAATGCTTTTTCAATTTTGTTTATTACATCAATAAAAATGCCTAAATATTCCCTCTGCTATCTTCAAATGCAGGTTGACAAAAAATATAGGGAATCAAATTTTTATTCTCCCCCCCCCCACCACAGAAATGTGTATGACGTAATGTATATGTACAGTCCCTAATAACCATTTATACCTTGTCGTTTCTATCCTTCTTTAAAGTACGTGTTGCCATGGCAACGTGAGAGTAAGACATTGACAAGCAATACGACATAAATTTTTAAATTTCGTGAAAAATTCGAAATGTAAAAACGAAAAATACTATTTTTACTGAAATTGAATATATTTTCTATTTTGAAAAAATAATATATATTGTAAATTGTATATATTTCTATTCATATAAAAAGATTTTGAATTTTTTTTTGTCAAAGTTGGTACTACTGACGCGTTTGATCTATGGATTACTTCAAACTGTATGTTCATCTTATATAATTTAATTGATATATACAAAAATTAAATAAGTATCTAAAATAACAGGGAAAAATACAAGAGGAAAATAACTTTTTTTTAATTTTTAAATGTCGGTACCCTTTAATGATACGGGAGTGTGATCACGTGACGAAAACATCCAGTGACGTCACAAGCGCAGGAGCAAGAGTCACAGCTGCCAGTTCAAAATGGCTGACCTGTGAGCAGCGGTGCTATAATCAAACTCTACTTAAAACGTACGCTTTTATATTTCGTGTGTGTCTAGTTTTGTGTTTAAATCTGCTAATATGATATCTTCGATTGTCTCGCGAATAGTCATGTGAGTATCTCTTGAATTCCTTGTTAGGAAACAATAAAAATATGACCAAGACCGCGTCATCTGTGCGTTGTTCTCAGGCCATCGCAATGGGGGTTGCGACAATCTATTTACCAATTTTATTCGCCTTTCACTTTTAACTTCTAAACACCTGCAATGTTCTTGATCATTAAAAGCGATCTTTTTCGCCATTACTTTTCTATACTCAAACATTATAAAATAAATAACGTTCAACGGAATTAACTCCATTGCTTTAAATCCCAAGTAAACATCAAAACAATGACAACTTATGGAGTACAAAGAAATACTCAAATTGTCATCAGTAGAATAATTTAAAATTTCAATATTATTTTCTAAACATACATTTTTTTCTTTTATACAAAGTATCATACATTAAGAAAGTTGTGAATTATTAATTTAATCGATTAGAAAAAATTGCTTTGTTTTTATTGTAACCTCAAAATGTGACATGCCAAGGACGAAAAACGAGTAAGAGATATTTTCAAGTGGGAGGTAAACAGTAATGGATGTGTAACAATCATTCTATGAATCTTCTGATCGTTGGTGTCAAGGTAAATTCACTAGATTGACAAGTGCGGCATGAATGCAATATACTTGGGAGAATATAATCGTGATAAAGGGAATGAAAAAAAAAAATCTGAGATTTCGCACTCCAAGAAACAATGGTATCGTTCAATGCGCACTTGAATTACTTGATTACGTTCTAGTGAAAGTGCATCAGCTCACGATGATTGTATAAATTGTAACCTCGTCTATTGTGGAAGTCGACGTGGTCGACGGCCAGGCAAAGTTCTATTCTAAGGTAGACTCGACCTAACCTAACTCTCACTTAAAGAAGCTTGCCTACCACATACAGATGTACTCATTACAGGGCTCTAGTTGTTACGAAAGTTCTTGACGGTACTTGCGCATTTACACGCAAATAAAAATATAAACTCGCCGCGGAAAGGTCAGGATTCAAACTTTACGCCTCCTCTTGTTTATGAAAGTTTACATCACGAGCTCAATTTCAATTTTGAAGGTTTCTCAAAACTTTTGTATGATGTAATTACTTGGCTGATTTTTTATCAAGGGTATTTGGTTTATTTTCATTATCTGATTATACAATTCTTTTAATAAAGCCACTTAAATGGTGAAAATTAAATTATTTGAAAAAATTAAAATATTAGTTCGATGGACTTGTAGGAAATAAGGCTTCTTAGTAAAATGATTTTTTTCCCAGTAAGAATCAAATATTTTATTACAACTATATACAAATGACGAATTTATTTTAAAAATTAAAATAATTTTATAAATATTATCTCAGAAAAAGAAATAAAAATGACTGTGAACATTTTGAAAAAATAAAATAATAGTCAATTATGAGAACAATTGATTATAATAATATCAAATGTTTTATCATAAAAATAAAATTATATAGAAAATTTTTTTTGTTCTGAAAAAATGTTTTAAAAAGTCGTAGAAATATTAAATAAAACTTTTTTAATAGATATCCTGTCGCTACAATTTAAGAGTTAATATTTTTCTTAGAAAATCGAAAGTTTAATAATAATAATAAATTTTAAAGGGATTTTAAATTTCAAATAATATAGAATATAATATTGATCACGATTTATAATTAGAAGATTGTCCTTGTAAAAATCGCATGTTTCAGCGTCCTAGATACTGAATTTGTTATTATATCCTGTCGATTGTAATTTGTTCAATCTTTTTTGGAAATAGTTTATGTCATAAGATTTAATTAATAATTCTTGAAGTTTAATTAAAATTAAAGTTTTTTTGTTTATTCATACTCTAATTTCATTAATTACTGCAAAATTTTTATTATTTATTGAATACTATTGTCTATTTTTTGAAAATTTCAAAGTTATGAATAAAAATTTAAAAATATGATAAAAACAATTTTTTTTTTAAAAAAAAGGGAGAAAATATAAAAAAGAAAGTAATATTTTTTGTTTTTAATTATATTTTCATTAACAATATACCTATTGAAAGAAAAAATTGCACGTGTTTCTAAGCGTCAGATAACGGATTCCATGTTTCCTTCATCAGCTGATCGTATGGATCGCACGCTAGGCTTGTCACAAAGACGCGGGTTGCTGCACTCTCTTTGTGCTTACTTATATTTTTATTTAAGTCTCTCGCACATACATTCACAATTTTACACTCACGTGCTTTTATTGCGTCTTGCAAACTCTCTTGAATGATTCACATATTCCATTATTGCACTTGAAATAAAGTGGCTCAAGGAAAAAGAGCAAATTAACGCGATTTTTTTAAAAAATTCTCAGAATAAATAACAAAATAAATAATCTTTTAAAAAAACAATGATGGAAATATCCAAAAATAATTAAAAAAATTTTTTTATTAAATTTTTGGGTATTTTTCATTATTATATATGACATAACTAGTTGTTATTTGACACGTGTAATTTTTTTTGTATATTTAATTTATTAGAAAGGTTTTACGTTCAGAAAAAAATGGAAAATTTATATTTTGAAAATATATATATATATATATATATATATATATATATATCTGAGAGATTTAAACAATGGTATGAAATATAACACATGTGCTTCTTTTTATTTTAAATTACAAAACCGGATTTTATTAATTTATTGCAGTAAAACCTTTTAAATCAAATGTATTATTGCGTATATATTTGAAAACAGCAATACAAATTTTTTTTTTTTTCCCCTTTCTATATAGATTTTAGAGCCAATATATCATTGTGCTTTGTGTGGATGTCTATATGAAAAGAAAAAACACTGTAGATTGATTTTACAATCAATAAAAAACAAAAAATTTAACATTTTTCATCGTAATTGAAAAATTTATGTTATTTTTGCAACTAAAATCAACAAAGTGGTCACTTTTCATGCGAACGTAATACATTTCTTTGATTTTGATTAATTTTTTCTGAATATCAGCAATGAAAAAATGTTTATTTATTTGTCGAAAAATATTTGAATTTGAAAATAAAATATTTGTGCATTAAAATTTATTTTTTGAATAAATTATATTTTTATTGTGTTCACGGAGAAAAATGGGATTGTTGTGCAAACAATTTTTAGATTGTTGTCAGTAGATTTGTTGATATTAAAATTCGAAATGTTAATATTATAATTCGGATTGTTGTCAATACAAATGTATGTTGTTTTAACAACAATACGAATTTTTTGTTGTCAGTTTTCAATTCCGTACAGTTGCAGAAGCAAACTCTCTGTCGATTACTGATGGAACAATCCGGATTTGTTCAGCTGACAGGTTTATTGTTTCATGTCACGTGGTCATCTTGAATTCTCGTAAATTGGCGTGCAGATCGTCGCGTCGTTTGCTTCTGGTACATGTGCCACTTTTGCTTTTATTATTAGTTTTTTTTAAATGACAAAGTGCTGTTAAATAATGAATTCGGTTAAAGTGAGAAATCTATTGCAATAAGTGTAGTGAATGGATGAAGAGACAATTTCATCGTTTATCGGTAAGTTATACTCGGTTACTATTGAACATAACCTCACCTTAAAAAATACAAAATATATATTAAATATTATTTAACAACAAATTTCAACTCAAAATAATTTTTTGGTTTCAGGTCAAAGAATTTGATTCAGAAGCTGCATATTCCACAGATTTTAATGCAAATGAAACTGGTGATATGACCTACGGAAATCTGCTATTGATTATTTTAGAAGGCGAAGAAACTGAACAAATTGTATTAGACGGATCAAAGTTTTGTTAATACAACAAATTGTATTGCCGATTTAATAATTTAGTTTTGTTATTTTAACTGTTCCATAACAATTTTCTTTGTTCATCAAAGATCAAACAATTCTGTTTGTTCACCGAACAATCCAAATAGTTTTAATAACAATCCCATTTCAACAATTTTTTTTGTCCCCAAAACAAATAGAACTGCTGGTTCTATATTGACAATCCGGAATTGTAGTGTGGACTTAATTTTTAGTAACCACAACAATTCTTTTTTTTCCGTGTCGCTAATAAATTTTAGCTAATTTTTATAGACAAGACAACAAAATTAACTAAAATTTTTAATTGAGATAACAGAAGTTTGGAAAGAAATTAATATAAAGGAAGTTATACAAATATATTTACGAAATATTTTTCTGTCAAAGTCAAATATTTTTTCTATAATTGAAGAAGTATAAATGACACTCGAAAAAAAAATTTTTTTTTTGCATGTGAACAATATAAATTACGTGTCATATTTGAATGCCATGTACCTTAGGTTTCTTCTCTTTCTTTCTTTTTTTTTGTGAATGACAGTTATTAACGATTGGTTATATGGATGATTTATAGGGTTCCAATCATTCTTTGCATCCACTGATGAGTATCTCAGGACCGGATAAATGCAATTGAGATATATGTTTATATATATATATAGGCAGATGCGTGTCTTAGGAAATTATTCGCGCTCGTGGGAATGTCAAGTTTCTGAAAACTTTATTCTATAAAGCAAGACGTCTCGAGATAAAATTGAAGTAAAGGAAAACGAGAGACGGTAAAAAATACAAGCGAGGCCATTACATTATATACGAAAGGATGGCCTCGTCCTGTCCTGTGTGTTATCTCAAGGTATTCTATGCAGTACACGTATATGTATATATATATACACTGAATGACGACTCCTCTCAATGTAATCCCTTCTGCGTACTGTACGTGCAACTGTCCACTTCTTCGAATTATTGAAAGCTATATACCTATATAGTTTGGCACATTCTGCAAGGCTACAGTTGCGACAATCATTGAGACGAAATTAATTATTTATCTCTGAATCGATGAAATTTTGGTTGCTCCTCATCTGTTTTTTTTTTTATAAAACAAATTATTATATTTATTGAATTAAAATGAGACGCTATGAAAATTTTCTAAAACTTAGTTCAAATTTCAAATGGATCGAGAATAAAAATTTCTAACAAATTTTTCAAAGATATATTTTTTAACAAATCCATTTTACTATG